CATTTACATCACTGTTTACCAGTCAAGACAGGGACAGCGTGCTGAAAGAGGCCTACTCTACCAGACCGGCAGCATTCTCAGCTCTGTTCAGAAGTCTACAGTGGATATAGTGCTGGAAAAAATGCTGCTTCTGACGGTTAAACCGCTGACCATTCACTGTCGTCGCAGCGCTGGCCACTGATTTACTGGTAAGGTTGCTTCTGAACAGAAAATCACGCTGATGATCCCCAGGATTTCTCCATACTGGTAAGCATTCCGGTGTAATCACCAGATCAACTCGCTAGCGCGAACTGCCTTGAACTACCGATTAGGGGTAATTATAGCTGATTTGAGTAGCCTCTACCGACAACCACTAACCAGCACTAACTGACAGCCACTGACTGAGCACCAGCACTTACTTGCACTGACTGCCGCTCTCCCACCCCGACTAGCTTCATGTTCTGGTTTTAAGACGTCTCTCTAAAAGCAGATACCTAGGTACCCTTGTCCTTGGTGCAGTATGCAGTATTCCAATTCGTCCTTTCAACCTCTACGGCCACAGAGTTTCATTGATCGCCTAGTGATTTCAGCTGGATCACTTAAGAGTGCAATGCAGGCGGAGATAATAGCTTGCCATGCCCTTTTTTCCCCCCATCACGCATCTGTTAATTGGCAAGGGGGCCTTGCTGAGTTTCAAGAAAGATCTTTGGGCGTCCGCCTAATAGCTCGAGGATAGACCGTTTCCTTGAGCAATTAGCATCACATTCGATTAAAATGACTTCAAATATCTGGCGTACTATGTTGATGCGGGTCGGGAAATGGCAATCCTTAGTTGAGCAGTACTCGTAGTGCCGATGCTGTCGGCGCACTAGTACGTAAAAGTCGGCGCCGTAACGACGGCTTAGTTGATGAAGCAGACAGAAACAGGTTCAATAATGCGATCTGATTTGCCACTCTTCCAAGCGCTCGCAATACTGCCATAGGCGCTAGTCTTCCAAACTCTCTAATCAGCAAACTGTATTGAGCTGGCCCCTGGCGCAAGCATCAAGAGAGCATGCAACGATGCGTTTGCTGCTTTGTGTTTTAACACTAGGCTGCCGCATGTTTTCTGGATCCACTGGGGTCTGTCTGCTGCTTCCAGCCCTAGGCCGCGTTGCTGCCGCTCGAGGGCTAGCTGGCGCTTGTGGTTGTGCAACCATCACCCGGCCTTAGCTGGTGGCATCGATGGATGAAAGTTGAACAGGGATCGGATACAGGAAACGGCCTGCGAACTATAATGTGTGGTTCTCACCAGTGAGAAGCTGTAAATACAGGGTCCGCACCAATCAGACAGGCGGCGTCGAGAGTGTAGAGCAGACGGCGTGACTAAACGGCTGCTAGGGCATGTGACACATGGGTGCGATATCTCGCTCAAGCCCAACACATAGATATAAACAAATATGTTACCGGTATCAAAATTTCAGGGCGACTCTCTTTGATGAGAAAAAATTGTAGAGCGAAATGCTGAGCATCGTGTCGCTATAGACTAGCTTGTGCGATGTGCCGGCAACCGCGTCATCCTCAAGCCTAAGCCCAAGCTTCCCCTAAAACCAAAGCTTCCGGCAGCTCAGCCCCTACCGGCTTTCCTAGCTGGGTGGGACACGTGCGTCGTTTGGTTAGGTTGCCTTACTCCCCCGTCTCCTGTTGGGACGCCTTCAAGAAGGTAGTGTTTTCCAAGTTTCCAGCTCATAATAGAGTCTGTTTGTTATTCATTGTTGATGCACAGCATCTAAAAACCGGCCGAGAAAGAGCTTTCCATACAATACATCGTACCTAAAAGTTCCACGCATACCGTCAAACATCTAAGAACCAAAAATCTTTTGCACTGCTACATCATCTCATCTACCTACTACCCGATTCTAGGGACCTCACATTCGCCACTGACCCTCTACACACTAACCATTTCACTAGCCAAATGCCCCTTTATGTCCGCCGCAATTTGGCCAAACTGCTCACCGGAGTTTGTTGACAGCGGCGCATTGGATCGGACTGCCGACTCCACCGCATTAGTGATGACATTTGCAGCCTCAATCATTCGCTGGGGACATTTTGAATGAATTGTAGCAGCTATCAAGGTGATGCTTGCTCGGTCTGTCCTTTTGAAATCCCTACTGCGTATTATTGGCATACTGTAAAATTTTAGAGCAGAGCGGACGAACAGTGTTGGCTCTGCTACTTCGGAGTAGAGTAAAGCAAGGACTGGTGATGGTCCTGCGAGCTGGACCCAGCTTCGCCCAGTCCGCTTACGTTCCTTTAGCTTATCTCGTAGATTTGTCTGACTAGAATGTTCCTCCTGGCAAGAAACATATATGTCCATTGCAACACTAGAGGCACGGTAGCAAGGTAATCTGTCCACTTGAGCCTTGTCCCTCTCGCCCTTTATTATGCTCTCGAGAGAGGTGAAGATTCGCATCAGCTGAATATAAGCGAGGCGTCGCAGCAAGCATGTTCCTTCCTGCCATGTTATGATATTGTCCACAGCTTTGAATGCGGCGGTAATACTTGGGTCCGTTCTGCGAATGTCCGTTGACAAGGTGGTCTTGCAAAGCAAAGAATGCCAGTCAGTTACAGTGCTTGCACAGTTGTCCGCAAAGGCGTTGAATGTATCATCTCCAACTAGCTTTTGGCACAGCGTGTTGACTCTTGCTAATTTTTTCTGTTGCAATTTGTCAGTGTTACGCTTTTCGGGCGCTCTTGGTCTGGAATATCTTCGGGCCATATCAATTGTAATGACAGTGCCTTTGCAAAGCGCGTTTCCACTAACACGCGAAATGTTTTTTATAGTCGTAATTGTTTCTGAATGAATGCATAGGAGAGTCTTGAAAAGACAAGCTCGTCTGCCGAACATGCAAGACGATATTTAAGTGTTGATAGGTTCCATGCTCCTCTCTACTTTGCCTCCGATGTCTGATTTCTGAAGTACGTTTCCAGTCTTCAGGTAGCTGTAGCTGCTGGATATAAGGGTAAGCCTTTGATACCTAGTTGTCTCTATTTTTAGGGGCCAACGCTAAGGTAGAGGCTCTACAGGGTCTCTTCAGTGCCTAGCTTCATTGCTAGTCATCGACCTCCGTACAAGGCACCGTAGCTGGTCACTTTACCACTCGCTAAGGGGCACCCTCTGAAATGAATTAGTACTTGAATTAATGCCAGTGGCTGGCTGTCACGCAGCTTGCACACTCGAATGAAGTCGCGTATACTTCAGTAATTAAGTTATCAAAATAGTAATTTTATTAAAATAACCATTCAATTACTGCAATCTAAGTAAGAACTAACGCTGTCGAGTTCTCTCATTCCCTAAATATAATAGTTTGCCACGTAGAGTATACGGCGTATCGATGCCCGCTAGAAGCAAGTCTATAACCGACTTCACATGTCCCAGAGCGGCCGCTGTGATCAGAAGCGTCCGACCATGGTTATCGTATCGGTGATAGTCGTAGATCAAGAGGTAAAGGAAACGACGACACACTGGCAAGAAGTGGCTGCAATCTTTGTTATTCAAGTAGTTTACGATCTGCAGGAGAAATTCATCCGGGAATTCGGTGAGGCACCGCCGTTCAGATGCATGAGCTGTCGACATTTACGTCGACCGCTTCGATAGCACCATCACCCGAGGTGGTGGCATCGAGCGTCTTTCGCCAAAAGACAGCCTCGATTTGGGCTCATTGCCGCCCGGCGGAGGGCAAGATCAATCCAGCTGCCTGGATCGACGCTGACAGCACGCGATGGTGGCACTACCAGCCCTGCTTTGACAAGAAAAGGGCAAAGCGATACAAATATTTAGGCGGTACGTCG